GGGGGGGGGGGGGGGTGGGGGGGGGGGGGGGGGGGTGGGGGGGGGGGGGGGGGTTCAGGATATACACAGTGAAACGGGCCCCATGGCAGCTTGGGTCATCAGGAGCGAGACTGGCGCTGACATCCGCAGAATCAATAATAAAGGAAAAGCATGAGAGCTAATAAATAAGCGGGAGACGGTGAGGAACAAGCCTGCGATTCCGCAAGCAGACCAGCAGAGGGCACTAGAGGCAAGCCCTGGGCTGTACGCAGAAACCCACCAGCTGTGCTTGTCTTGTAAAGCTTCCATGGGCCATAGTTGGTGTTGTTGTTGGTGGGGGGAGTGGGTGTGAAAAAAGAGCACCTTCGTATTTGGCTTATAAACTGAAGCAAGGTGGAAAATAAAAACGGAAAGAGACTGTGTGTAAAAAGGGTAAAATATGGTAGAAGCAGGGCTGGCGCTGATGGGCGTCAGGGCAGGCAGATCTCAGCCTGTACCTTGCAGGAGAGAAAACAGGGGAGAGAACATAAGTGAACCGAATGACCGGCATAAACCCTTAATGTGTGACCCTGTGTTCCCTCCCCCAGCAAAACCAGGTCTCCGTATGTCATGCAACTTGCTTCTGGTTGAAAACTAACTAAATGTACACCTAGAGATTTACATGAGTTTCCTCATGCTGGTCCTATAACCCCCCCCCCTCCCCCCATAATAGGCTGCTGGAAAAACCCCACTGGGCTTGTGCTGCAGCTATTTATTTACTGGCCCACCTTTCATCCCGCCATCACTCAGCACGCTATCGGACCCCTTTAGTGGGAGCTGCTCGCCGGCACACAGGCCGTAGGAGAGCGTGGCCCTCCGGCACGGGGTCAGGAGCGTGCACCTCCTGATGGCCGGAGGCTGAGGGACTGTAAATACAAAAAGGCCAGAGGCTCCATGTCAGGCGGCTCACTCACTCTGCTCCTCCTCCCAGCCCTCAGCCACGCCGGCCAGCTCATAGTGCTTCTTCCTCAGCTCTCCCAGACGCTCCCGCTCCCTCTGGAGCCGCGTTTCCAGCTCCAGCACCCGCACCTTGTGGGGGGGGGGGGGCAGGGTTAGTGGGCTGGTCTGACCGCACTACGCACACAGGCAAGCAGGGGGCGCCCTTACCTGTGAGTCCATCTCCTGCCTCTTGATCTGAGTCAGGGTCATACTGGAGAAGTCCATCGTGTCTGAAAAAGCAGGCGAGGAGTGAAGTGGCAAACCGTCACGCATTAAGGGTGCCTATGGCCGAGAATGCAACCCCCCCCCCACTGCCAGCCTGAGGGAGGAAATGCCAGCGTGGCAGCGCCAGTATGCGGACATTCCACGGCCCCGCTGGGAGGCAGCGCTTCCGCTGGTGGCCCGCCCCGTTTCCCGTGAGCCTCGTCCTCACGCGACCCTAGCTGCCCCTGAGGGACAGGGTCTGAGTTAACACAAGGCGGGGGGGGTCCCACCTGCTCCAGGGAATGAGTAAGTTCAGCACAAAGTCATTTTCGTTGTTGGTGAGATAAGGGGCCGGACCGTAAACGGCCATTTAGAAAGGATGGTGTTTGTCGCCATGTCATGTGACATAGCAGCCTACAGAAGCAGCCAATGAGAGGTCTGTCGGGTGTGGAAGAAAAATTCTTCTGACCAATCATAGCGTGTAGCTACCGGGAAGGCAGTACATGAGCAAACCTTACCTGTCTCCTCGATCTGCGATTTGCCAGACTTGGTGGAAGCCACGACGCCGGCGGTGGCCTGGGTGACCCCGCGTGATGCCTGCTGCAGGCGCGCCAAGTTGCCGCTGTCCTTGTCAGCCTTCACCTGAGACGGGGAGCCGCAGGGGACCATCATGCTGTATTTAAATCACTAATGAACATTAAACAACTCGCAAGGTTGCCTCTTAGCTAATTTAGTACCTTAAAACCCATCCAATAAATAGCTTCTTTGTAAACCTTTAAAATTCTCCCCATTGCCTCAAGCCAAAAATCTTAATTTCTGCCAGCAGGGGGCAGCATGTCTATCGTTAACTGGCGTGACTAATTCTGTTAGCAAATCCCTCTCTCCCTGCTGGCCCGCGCCAGGCCTGCCAGGTACAGCTGAAGGCTCATCAGATGCAGAAGCGGCTGCTTTCATAAAGCAGCATCTGTCTGCCTAAAACGCGAGATGATGGATGATGAATTTTTATGGATATGTAAATACATCCTGCCACGGCTTTAGGCTCCCATGAACAAATACGAGGGAATATTCCTCTGCCACTTCGCCTGCCGAACTTTATAAGCTTTTTTGTAATTGCCCCCTAAGATTGTCCTTAATTGGACACACCTGGTTACACAGCGAGTAGCGATATTGTGAGCTCACTGTGCTAAACCATTAGCTATGCCCCCCCCTTCGACCCCACCCCCCGCTCACCTTGGACGCGGCCACCAGCTGTGCTGTGCTGGCTGCGATCTCGTGCGAGCAGACCATCAGCTCCTCGAATTTGCCATTTCCCTGCACCACCAGGTCGGCCGCGTCCCTGTTGGGAATCCACGCACGTCAGACCGCCGAGCCATGGGTCACATGACTGACGCCGCGTCAGCCCACATCGCTTCATGAATCACGGTTCGCTTCTTTTCCTGGTTGAGAGTGGCATCCGCAAATGCGGCAGCCTGCCATCTGTCAGGAACGCCCCGAAAACAAACTGTGTGGACCGGCGCATCCGTAGCAAATCTAACGGCGCTATAATTGGTACCGAGCAAACAGGAACAGATCACGGACGCTTCTAGTAAGATCACAAGCGCTCAGTGGAACATCTGCACACACCCACACAGGGAGGACTTACACCATCACTGTGGCACCCCATCCCACTGCCTTCGAGGCTGAAATGAGCCCTTCTGTCCAGCGGGAATTCTTGGCATAGAACTCCTTCATGGACGCCGCCCCCTAGAGGCAAGAGAGGGCATAACAATAAATAAATAAATAAATAAATAAATAAATAAATAATAAAATACAAATAAATTAAAAGTGCGCTGAGGAATGACCCGCAGGCCATTTTGAGAAGCTGTAGCTCACCCTGCCGCTTTCAACGATATCTCTCTGGAGATCTTTGGAGGCCAGCACCAGGACTTTGATAGCCTGCATTAGCTCTGTACAGGATGCCAGGATCCTGTGGGGGGGGGGGAGCGTTCAGATTCCCTGGTTCTCAATACGCTGAGCAGGATCCATACCCGTCGCAGGCCTGCCAAGCACACCGGCATTCATTCAGGCCTACTCTTCACGCCAGCATTCACTCAGGCCTGCCACGCACGCCGGCATTCACTCAGGCCTACTACCCATGTTGGTATTCACTCAGGCCAGCTCCGCACACCGGTATTTACTCAGGCCAATGATTTAGTTAGTTAGTTTAAATGAGCTGTTAACTGGACCAACAACCCGAGCTAAAAACACACGCCCAAACTGACAGCGTGCAGGCTGATCATTATCTCTCATCAAAGGAAACCTGTGGCTGTGTAACGTTATAAAGCGGTTTATTAAACATCCTGCCAATTTTTTGCCTCTTATACATCACCTCACATGATTATTTAAAAGCCCGAGAGCAATTTAGAACTTGTAAAGTAATGCTCTGGAAGGTAATGGAAACGCAGTGCTATTCCACAGCACCTTTAACTGTGGAGACACGAATCAAGATGCGAGCATCATGTTGACGCAAATTAACCAGCAGCCCAGCCGGATGGAGGAAATGGGGTGGGGGTGGGGGTGGGGCAGATGGAGAGACACTAATCTGCATTGTTTATGCTGCAGGGCTGTGCTGGGCAGCTGTAAACAGAGAGCTCTCAGCTGCATGCTATCACATGCACATTTTCCTGTACAGCAGTGTTTCCCAATCCGGTCCTCAGGGACCCACAGTCGGTTTATGTTTTTGCTCCCTCCCAGCTCCCTGGGAGACCTGGGAGGAAGCAAAAATGTGGACTGTCTGTGGGTCCCTGAGGACCAGATTAGGAAACACTGCTCTAAAGCAATGAAGTAAACCTCTTTTGACAGCAAAACTTCAAAGTAATCACAAGGATAGTTAAGAAATCAGTCAAAGGGCCATAAATACTGGTACTGGTCATCACCATGGGCAAAAAGATAAACGTGAATATGGACCAATGTGAGGAATTTCTCAAAGATGGAAAACTGCTGAGAAGGAAAAAGCAGAAAGTGTTTCTCTCTGCCGGGCAGGGGTCACACAATGTTGGCAGGAAATGTTTTTGTCCTGCTGCTGGGAAACGAGGAACTGACCTTTCGTTGACCTCCATCTTCACTCCCGTGTCGACAGCTCGTGACTTGTTCAGCATTTCCTGTTTTAAAGGAGGGCAAATAGCTTTAGCTGAGCGGGTTCCGGTCATGGAGCGGGAGGGATGGGGGGTGACCAAACATGCGGTGCTTCTTTGCCATGGAACGTTAAACCTCAAAGTCTAGCCTCAGCTTGCAGGTACAGCCAGCAAGGCCTTTACTGCGGCGGAGGGGGAACGATCTACTGCCGCTGTGGATGTAGCTCCTGCAGCTCAAGTAGAGCACTGTGCCAACGACGCAAGGTTGTGGGTTCGAATCCCAGGAAGCGACATAAATTGTAACCCATCTACTGTAAATCGCTTCGGATAAAAGTGACAAATGGAATATGTGAATATAAATGTACTGATGCATTAGGGCGGACCGACCGGTGGAGAGCGGTACCTCAATCCTGACAGCAGCAGACTCCACAGCGGCAGAGGTGGCCGACATCTCCTGCTCCACCAGGTCCCCCAGCTCTCCCTGCTGCAGCTCCAGCCCACGAGGCCGCAGGTCCTGCGACAGACACAGGCCCATGGCATGCGGCGGCAGAAGACGACTCAGACATATTGGCAAGTGCCCATCTCGCCGTTTGCTCCCTTTATTTAATTTACAGGCTCACCTCAGCAGTGGTCTTGATACGGCCCAGCACCGCCCTCAGCATGGTGCCGTCAGCAGCGCCCAGGGTGCCCTGCTCCTTCAGCCGGCCCAGCAGCTCCAGAGCCTCCGCTCCGCAGGCCTTCACATCCTCCGCCAGAGCTGCCGAGGCACGGCATGCCCCGTCACTCAGAGAGATATGCAGGTGCCACACCGACACGCACACAGAGTGACAAAACACTCATATGGGACTGCGGTGATGAGTATGTGTGTGAGAGTAACATTTATCCTAGCAATACTCTCATACACACAGAGTAATGAAACACACAGGACTGCGGTGATGTGTGTATGACAGTAACACTTATGCTGACATTACTCTCATACACACAGAGTAATGAAACACACAGGACTGCGGTGATGTGTGTATGACACCACTTATGCTGACATTACTCTCATACACACAGAGTAATGACCCACATGGGACAGCGGTGATGTGTGTATGACAGTAATACCACTTATGCTGACATTACTGTCATACACAGAGTAAAGTCTCATACACACATTTATGCTGGCATTACTCGGATACACACAGAGTAACAAAACACCCACATGGGATAGTGGTGATGTTACTCTTATACACACACATTTATGCTTACATTGCTCTCACTGACATTAGTGCAGAGCTGCGCACGTCACCCAGGACTTAATGCACACCACGGTACTGAACTGTAGAGCTACATTTCATTAAATGATACCATCTTCATGTCTGTATAGTGTGTACAGCCGCATTCTTAATCCTGACCTTCTAAACCACTGTGTGCGTGCATTTTTCTGAGGCTGTTTATTCCTCCAGCTGAGCTCTTGGTTGATTAGTCCTGATTGAGCTCTTGATTGAATCATAGACCCTGCTTGAATGACATCAAACTAAACCTTCGGTTAAATGCCTTGTTTTTCCCTTTGAATTGCCTGTCAGTCAGTTTTAGCCGATAAGAAACAAAAGGGCTCGTCAGATGTAAAAAGAACTTCTGGGCTCATTTAGCAATTGTTTTTTTAGGAGACCAAGTAAAAAAAAAAATGTTTCGAGAAGAAACGTATCTATAACACCCCCATTTTCCTAAAGCTTAAGTAATTATCACTTGAAAGGCTGAAAGTGCAGACAGGAGAACCAAGATTATTTTAAATGAAATCAAAGGCTCCAAATTCAGATGTATTCGGTGAGTGACATGAACCAGGCTCGGTGCCTTTACATAATGCTCGACTCTCAACAGATGCTGCAACTGAAATCATGTCAAGCGGATCGCAAACAGCAGCTCAATCAAGGCTGATTAAGAGCCCGACTGTGATGGAAAAACAGCGGTACACGGTGGGTTGTCGGGACACATAAAGAAAACATCTGACATTAACATTAACTAAAGAAAGCATAAACTCCTCATATTGTGTGACTCTGTGGGTTGCCATCCTGTCTAGGCTGTACCCCAGCCGTGTGCCCAGTGCTGCCTGGGATAGGCTCCGGGCCTCACTGCAACCCCGACCAGGATAAGTGGTTGGAAGAAGGATGGAGGAATAGATGTCATTAAGGAATAAATGCTGCATTCTTATTGAGGACTGTATGCTAAGACCACACCTCCCGCTGGGCTGATTGTCTCCTGGAGTCTCCTCACTGCAGCAGGAGCATTCAAATGAAACCAGAGGGCATCACCCTCTGTATATATATACTCACAGTCAGCCTGCTCCACTGCTAACATGTGCGATGTGGCGCCGCCCTGCATGATGGTATCACTGAGCTGGTGGCCGAACTGGGCCACTGCCCGCAACATCTCAGCCACATCTGCAGACACACGCAGTGGCAGCTTTTAATACACCAGTACTACACCAGCAGAACTGCAAGCACTGCATGAACAGAAATTTTTCTCTGTGTGCAAAATGAATGCATCAGATTCAGCGATCTGCACGGCTCCCTGCTACTACTTGCTAAACTTTGCTTACTCTGGATCTGAGGTAGGTTGGATGCGGGGAGGATCCACTTTTGCCCCCAGAACCGCGTCAAGGGCAGATGAGTTGTGCATTCAGAGAAGCAATTCTCCACACAACTGTTGTACTGAGCTGTTATTTTTGCACTTGTGGCCTTCCCGTTATCTTTAACGAGTCTGACCATTCTCCTCTGACCTCTCCCATTAACAAGATATTTTCAGCCACAGAAATGTCATTATCAAGCCATTCTCTGTAAGTTCTAGACACTGCAATGCGTGAAAATCCCAGGAGGGCGGCTGTTTCTGTGATGCTGGAACCATCATGTCTGGCATCAACAATCAGACCACATTCAAAATCGTTTAAATCAGGCGCCTTAGCCGTTCTGCTGCTTGGCTGCAGATTAAGTGAATCTCTAAATCCTGTCGACTTACTCTGAGTATTAAGCTGCAGCCATATTATTGTCTATTTGCATTAGCAAGCTAATGCATCTAATAAACATGCCAATGAACGTTAAAAAAAAAACTAACCCTAACCCTAACTCTTACAGGTTAATGTTAACATTAAAATCCTTTCAAAAAACTATTCTGAGACATGCTGTATATTTATAACAACCCATAAAACAGAATAAAGCATAAACTGATGCTTCTGTAACTAAAAACCCATTACATCTGCAGGTCAATGATGTAAATAATGCCTAAGAGCTCCGATCTGGCACTAACTAAGAAGCAGGACTGGCACATGTTGCCTGCAAGCAGCTACGTGGCTGACCTGTGCTGTTGGACACATAGACGTCTCTGGCTGCCTGGAGTCTGTCCACACATTGGAGGGCAGCCTCAGTCCTGGACACGAGGTAATCTGTGGACGGGAGGGGAGGGGAGGGGGCCAGAGACAGGCAGCTGAGCCGTGTGGACAGATTGGTGGTTGGTATAGAGGAGAACGCTGAGGCTGACTGGAGGTATACTGGGGAAGGGCATCTGACCGGCAGAGCTGGTGCAGCTGATGTGTGCCGGGTCCTCCAGGCGCGCGAGGGAGTCCCGCACAATGCGCTCGGCCTCCTCCAGCGCCCCCTCCAGAGCGGCCCAGCGTGCTGCCACCAGCTGGCTCTCGAGAGCCTGCTCCCGACTTTCCTGAGTGCCACACAAGATCAATGTTACTTTGTGCAGATTTTAGGACTGGTCACATCTCAATGCAGATCAGGATTCCAATCGCAGCAAAACTCAACGATGGTTAAAACCAGAGGTGGATAGTTTAGGTGTAAAATGTAAAAATCTAGACCAACATTTTGTTTAGTACTCTTACTGACTATGACTGTTTATGCTTTAGGTTGGTTGAAACAAAATCTAGGTCTGGATTTTTACTTTCTAAGCCTGAACCATTTACCCCTGGTTAAAACCAAACAAAAGGTTTTAACAATTTCAGTTTTAATTTCAAAAAGAACGACTTCGCATTGCTCGGTCTGCTCCGTCCGCTTTGCAGTGGATCTGTTACCTTCTCGTTGAGCTGGTTCTGTAGATTCTCCGCCACTTTCACACTGCTCTCCCGCTCGCTTGCCAGACTCCTCTGCACTCGCTGCAGCTCCTCCCCCAGGCCCGCAAGCTCCGCTTCCTTCCGCACCAATGTCTCTGCCAAGCCCGACTTCTCTGCCTCCAGGGCCGAGACCTGGGAACTGAGTGCCTCGCTCGACTGGCCAATGGGAGTAAGCGAGAGGCGGGACATTGAGGTGACTCAGCGAATCGGCAGGACATGATTTTTACCTTGAGAAAAAAGCCCTCTATGTTCCCACACTGCTATAAAGCCCTAAAGTGTTGGGAAACCCTTGGCTCAGGCGAAACATGTAATGTAGAATATATCATAAACCCCCTTATAGCCCCATTGTTTAGATTAATTGCAGTGTCCACGGATGACACACTTCCCCCAAATCAGGGCTGGTGACCTTTGACCCACCTGCTGTGAGGAGGTCACTGTCTCCTTCAGTCTATCCAGCTCCGCCCTGCTCGCCTGCATCTCCTTCTGCAGCGTCCCCAGCTGCTCCTCTTGCTCCTTCTCCTAGAGGCAGATAGGGGGCAGTCAGCGAGGGCATGGCTATGGTGTGTGAGGCGGCAGTGTGCGAGGCGGCAGTGTGCGAGGCGGCAGTGTGCGCGGCAGTGACGAAAAGGCCAGCATGCCGATCCCTCACCCGCAGGTGGACGTCCTCCTCGGCGGCCTTCACCTTCTCCTGCATCTCCCGCCTCACGCTGTCCACCTCATCCTGGGCCGCTCTCGCCACTGTCATCTGCCGGGTCACCTCTGCATTCTGGAACCAAACACAGGATCCCAGGGATTATTCCAGTTTCTACACATCATCACTGGATCCACTGGGAAAAAGCTAGAGACTGAAAATCCTTTTACATTTTTATCCAAACTGAGATAGCAGGGTCAGACAGTCCCTATAGCAATTGGGGATTAAGGGCCTTGCTCAGGGGCCCAGTGGTGACATCAATTTCCTGACCACGGTATCTGAACCAGCAACCTTCTGATGACAAGCACAGTGCCCTAGCCTACTGAGCCACACAATGCTCCCTTTAAAGCAAGAAAAAAGGAAAAAAAAAAAAAAAAAAAAGGGGATGAAAAATCCTGTTTTGCGCTCCTTTTGAGGCACACACACATATTGAGGCTCAGGGACGGTTTAACACCTTGAGTTTTCCCCTTAAGTATTACACTTACGATTTAATTTCTCCATAGATTTATTTAAGGCTAAGGCACAGAATAAAAAGGTTTCCTTAGAAAGGGACCAAAAGAGATTTTACAATAGTAAAATAGTAGTTTCCATGGAGACTGCTGCTGGCACTCACGCCTGATTGTGATGCCTGTTATTGCCTCCAGTGTTAATTTCGTTGATGAAAATATGGCCTGACAAAGTGGTTTGCGTGACTTTAGCTAAAACAAACACTTAACTAAAATATGCCTTAATGACAATGATGAAATTAAGCATACTGTCTGTACAATCTGACGAATATTGATAAAATAAAAATAAAAGCCGGATTTCATTATCACTGTATCCTTATTTCACAAAAATGTGGACCGTTTCGCCTGGGGTATTGTGTTCACTACAAGTAGGTACTTTTCATTTGAAGAAAAACTACCGAGTGGGGCATATGGCAATAAACTTCGCTGAATAGCTGATGACAAGAACCGACGTTAACTTGGCAGATGCGAGAAAGTGTGGGGAAAAACAAGCAAAGTAGAGCAAAAACTGAGCAGATGGAATAACTGTTGTATCTCAGTTACATTAACTTCATTAATGAATACCTTTTTTGCATGCGTCTCAATATTTCTGCATCAGAAAATCTGATCTATAACCGATATAATTCTGTGTCTGTCTTTTTGCCGGTTCTGGCGGTGAAACCTGCCAGCACTTATTAGCAGGATAACGTTGCATCATGTTTTATTCTGTGGAAAACGAAAGATCAATCTGCTGGCCAGATTTAATAATGAATTATAAATGTGTCACTGGCCATATATATAAAATCATAAATCGACTGCCAGTCAAATATATAATGCAAAATCAATTTATCAATTGTATCCCTTTTTTGTGTTCATTTTCTTCATTTATCGGCATAAATTATGCCATGTTGCGACTGAGATAAAGTCAGAGGCACGTTGGTTGTTAAGGTCTTTTGTGCAACTGTTTGTGCAAAGGTATTTCTTAAGACCAAGATATGGGGAAAAACTTAAATACTAAAATAGAACATTTTAAGGAAACATTAAGGAACAGATTTAAGGGCGTCTTGTGCAACCGATTTTATTTTAAGGAAACCTTAATTCGGACTTCAAGGAAAATCTTAACTTCATGTGTTTCGTGCAACCAGCTCCAGGCATTTATCCAGCGGCCCTGGAGCATTTTTGAAGGGCCCAATGGCAATGTGACTCTTCAGCTAAGCACAGGATTCAAACACAGTGTGGATTATAACTAATCCACTGAACCAAACATCACTCTGCATTTTAAAACATACAAAATTCACTTACTCTACAAAATGGACAGTGTAAGATTCAGAGACAAAGCAAGGACAGAATTTACCATGAATTTATGCCATTGTAGCTTTTTGAGTTGCACAGTCTGGCTTTCTGCTAAATTAATGTCTGGTTTCGCAGATAAGCACCCTAGTATTTTATATATACAGTCAAACCTCGGATTGCGAGTAACTTGGTTTGCGAGTGTTTTGCAAGACGAGCAAAATTTAAAAATAAATTTTAACTTGATAAACAAGGTGTTGCAATACGAGTATTATGTACACGCTTTGTCTGCCTACCGTCACGTGATCACAACTCAGTTGATGGTTCTTCTCTCTCTCTCGCTGTGGGATTGTGGGTAATTGTTTCTGAAGCTCGGCCTTAGTCGGCGTGCCTTACTCGTATAGTCAAAATTTAGTAGAAAAGTAGCACCTGAATAAAGGTGTAGCAGTGCGAGCGATGAATCTGTTTAATGACAATGCAATGTCCACATTTCCGTGAAATTGAAAAGGAGGCAAAAGCAGCTGTCATTGGATGGGTTCCTTGTTAAAGTTGCACAAAAAGAAAGATTCCAGTGAGCCAACAGATAGCAGTGATTCCGTTAGTTATAGTGAAAGTCTACAAAATAACCCTCCTCTTCTATTCTCTCTCGTCTCCCTCACACCATCCATGATTCTTTTCAAAGGTAAAGTGCAGGTTACTTTGTTTTATGTTTTTTTACTTTATATTTTGTATTAATAATTTTTTCATGAATATTTTTGAGTTGTGGAACGAATCATCCGAATTTCAATTATTTCTAATGGGAAAATTCGCTTTGATATACGAGTGCTTTGGATTACGAGCACGTTTCCAGAACGAATTATGCTCGCAATCCAAGGTTTTACTGTATATTTTGCTTCCTGGATTAACAGTGTTTTCTTCCCCTGTCAATAATACGTTTAACATTGAGAATCGCCCCTAAGCAAGAACAGTATTTAAGCCATTTTTTAAGCAGAGATTTACTCCTGATGTCTAAAGCCCCTTTTAGCCGTTAGCTAGGAAGCGGTGGGTTCCAAGGGTACAATCAGACTTACACAATGTACTTCTGCCAGCACACAAAGGCAGAATAAAACAAAAGAATGAGACAGTAATTATGAGTCAGAGATGACAGTTCTTAGTGTGGCTTTTGTTTCATACTCATGTGCTACTTAGCTGATGTGTTTTTTGAGAGACCTCAGAGGAAACTATGCTAAAGACAGATTTGGAAGAAGTGCCTTGGGTAGGGTTTGAGATGCTGAGGGGTTAGTGTTAGCCTGCGTTAGCCTTGGGTAGGGTTTGAGATGCTGAGGGGTTAGTGTTAGCCTGCGTTAGCCTTGGGTAGGGTTTGTGATGCTGAGGGGTTAGTGTTAGCCTGCGTTAGCCTTGGGTAGGGTTTGTGATGCTGAGGGGTTAGTGTTAGCCTACGTTAGCCTTGGGTAGGGTTTGAGATGCTGAGGGAAGTCTGCGTTAGACCTGGGATAGGCTCCAGGACCTCATGTGACCCTCGGCAGTATGAGTGCTTAGAACATGGATGGCTAAGTGCAAGAGGAAGATCAGTGCAAGTTAGGGCTCAACCAATATATAGGTTGGCCCAGTACCATCAGGTGATATTATTGTTGCAGTAATACACTGGAGATGAACACTGATAATGTGTCTTTAATCCAGTGGTTCTCAATTCTGTTCCTGGCGAATGAATGTTTTTGTTCCAACCCTACCTTAATAGGCTAAAGCTGGTTACAGAACAAACGCGGCATGCGCAGTGCGCGCCCCATTCAAAAAAACAAGCTCTCTCACTGAGGAAAACTCTGGGAAGATATACTTCCTGTACTACAACTTAACACTCATGGTCTGGGATTATTGGCAAGTGTTATGGTTCAATCTAGGACTAAGCTGGGAGAGAATGATTGTGTAAGTATTTATGGTAAAGACCCAAGGGAATTTTCTTTCCTGAGTTTGATTTGCAGTGGCTGGATGTGCATGACGCACAACTGGCATCTGACATGAATTTCATCAAAACACCAACTCCCTTACTATTCCAAACATGGGCGTCAAAAGAGTAAAAAACAAAAGGCATTCATGTCTATGGTTCGTAAATAGATGGGGATGGGGGGTGAGGTTGATTTAAGGAAAACTGCAAACAAAGTACACAATTATGGAGTGACCAAAATCCTAAAAGGGTTAGGCTAAATTTTTTTATATCATACCAAAAGTCATACACAATACAAGAGTTATTAGTGGTTGACTGGAAAAGGAAATATTGTATTGTACCACTCAAAAGGCAAGGATTTTTTTTTTGATTAGTAAGATGTTTTGGTTTATTATAACAATGTACTTTAAATATAGTTGTTTGACAATGCAACATTGTGAGAGTTCACATTATTGTTTTAACATTATAAGGTGGGATGTTTATTATTACATTAAGACTGAGGGTGTATCCGAAATTGCATACTTATACAGTACATATTGAATCTCATTAGAAGCCTACTACTCAACCATTAATGTAGTTCATATGTATGTATGCATGAGAACGGCATGCATGCATTTGGGCATCTTGCCTATTACCTGACCTGGATGTTTTCCAGTAATGTAGCTTGACCCCCAAGATAATTAAATACTACCAATAAAAAAATACATATTCCAATCAATGTATGTACTGGGGATTGTTTTCTACTGAAATCTGTGCAGACAGCACTTCCTCTGCCACCTTGACACAGCTCCAATGGCCTTGTGGGATAGCGTAGCATCCATTGGTTGCATTCTTCAGAATTTCACGAATTGTAGTATGTCACTGATGTAATGTTTGCCTACTGTCCCATCCATACTGCTCACTTTGCATACTATACTTCACCTACTACATCAAACAAGTATGCATTTTTGGACGTGCCTTGAGAGTTTCTCCTGTTTTAGTTTGTTAAAATGGACCACACTGTTTCATTTTTGACCGTACATCATTACATAACCTGCTATTACTGATTATCAGAGTTCTTTGTTCCTTTAAATCTGTATCAGTATAAGGATATGGAGGCCCACGGTATGCATATATAATCTTAATTATTATTTATCATAGCTATTTATGACATAACTCAAATATTGTTTATAGTAATTAAAAGGTTCAAAAGCTCCCAAAAGATCAGGATTAGGTAAGCCAATTTCATATTCCACTGAATCAAAAATAAAAACGAGGGGACGCTGTTTAAGTTTAGTGCTACTGTGCTGAAAAGTAGGGGGCGCTGTTTAAAAGGTTTAGTGCAAAGCGACAAAGCTACAGTGCCAGCGACTCGGACAGAGGGGAACTCCGGGGCGGCTGCCCTACCTTCCTCAGCAGGTCAGCGTGACTCTGCACCAGGGCCGTGTATTTCTCCTTCAGCTTGGTGTAGCGCTGCTCATTTGCCTGTGCTTTTCCTGCAAGACAAGCATGACCTGTTGTCAGGTGGACAGTCTGGCTTTGTAAGGAGGACCGCCCCCTACTGGTGACCCTTTGTAATAAATGCTGCGAATGATGCTTTTGTTGCCAGTATAACAGATTTCAGTCCCCTCTGCTGGAATCTTTTTACATGTTCTTTTTTCAGGATTGCAGTCAGTTAGTGTTCCATCCATCCATCCATCCATCCAGTACACTGTCATGGAGGTATGGAGGTCTGTCCGAACACAGGAATATCCTAGACCAGTATTTCCCAATCTGGCCCTTGGAGACCCCCAGACAGTGCATGTTTTTGCTCTCTCTCAACTCCCTGCCAGACAGTGCATGTTTTTGCTCTCTCTCAGCTCCCTGCCAGACAGTGCATGTTTTTGCTCTCTCTCAGCTCCCTGCCAGACAGTGCATGTTTTTGCTCTCTCTCAGCTCCCTGCCAGACAGTGCACATTTTTACTTCCTACAAGGAGCTGGAAGGGCATATACACAATCACTAACTACAATCTAACTACCGGACTGTTTAAACATATACTGTAGAGGACATGCAAACTCCATGCACCGATGAAATTCAAACCAGCAGCCCTTGTGCTGCTCACCAAGCCATACGTCACCTCGGTGAGTAAAACGAGGGCCCCTCTGAAATTAGAATCTGGCAAAAGACATTTAAAATATATATTTTTCTAAATTAAATAACAGGCTTCATTGCCACTCGGAGCCGGGCCGGGCATCGGGCCAGGTGATACAAGCGTGAAAGACTTTGATATTCACTCGGTGCCAGAGTTAGGGACAATCACAGCTGACACCGGCATCCTCCGTGTGCTGTCTGCGGGGACACCAGACGGCAGGAGGAGGTTCCCAAGCCCCCAGCCACGGCGCAGCGCCTAAACCGAGCCTCGGAGCAGGTCCCTGTCGTTATTCGTGCTGTGAAAACGAGCTGCTAACTACTGCTTGCAAGGCCCTACACCAGTCCTTTCCAATCCAGTCCTGGAGGACCCATAGTTAGTCCATGTTTTTGCTCCCACCGAGCTCCCTGCCAGAGATGGACCGACTGTAGGTCCCCAAGGAACGGATTTCGAAACACTACTCTAGCCGATCATCGAAAGCACACATGGTGTGGTCAGAGGAGCTCTCCGTGATTGCTAGACCAGTGTTTCCCAATCCAGTCCTTGGGGACCGCTATCCAGTCCACATTTTTGCTCCCTCTCAGTTCCCAACCAGACAGTTCATATTTTTGCTACTGGAGGCTAGGAGGGAACAAGAACATGGACCATCTGCAGGTCGCTGTGGAGCGGGTTGAGAAGCAACGCGGTAAGCTCTGCCATAATGTACACAACGTAAGATGAGTGGGGAGACGACTGCTTCAGGCAACACGGGCAGAGAAACCATCAATCATTTTCTATATGCACTGATTTACTGTCATGTCATGCGTTTTAAATATCATGTTCCTTCAGGCGGGAACTTTAACTCCAGTACTGACTTCAAATTAAATTCAAATTAACAGAGAAGAAACAGACAGTGCGAGTGACAGGTGGAACCGTTTTAGATTGGTGGTTTTGGACGAGACGGCAGAGACTGGCGAGGGGGGCAGCGTGGCGGGGGGCCCCAGGCCTTGCCAGTCAGGGAGGGGCCCTCAGAGCAGCGCCAACAGCAGGAAGTGCTGCCCTTAAACTGAGGTGCCAGACGGCAGTAGGACTGAACCAAGTTGGATTCCTTTGTTCTGTCACTATCAGGAAACTGCATGTGACAGTGGAGACGTGGGGGGGGAGTATGGGGCAAAGTGATTCGGCTACAGGATCGAAAGTGGCGACGCAGCAAAGAGCTTACCCTGGGATGCATTCATTATCTGTTTATTTAAGTCTTTGAAAAGTTTATATTCCCGTATTTTCCTAACTATAGCTTGTATCTGCTTGGCTGGCTTCCACTATAGCTCTACACTTCTTACTGAAACCCCAAAGAGCCCCCAGCCCTTCTCCCCCATACAGGATACGCCAGTAATACTCCAGTGTATTGTAGTGTTTGTTAAAATAGACCATAAACAGCTTACGCTGCTGAGGTTGTCTTTTAAATGAGTGTGCTGCAGAAAAATAAATGACATCCCTAAGCCTTTTCATTAGCTGTATGTCACAGCTTTTAAAAATCGGCCAGTGGACCGCTCAATTAAAACCCATTCTCGTCTTCTGGGACGATTTTGCTGCGGTTTGTAACAGAATAGACCATCGCCAAGATTCAGTGTTATCTTCCAGCTTGATGCAAAGTCTCTGGTGTCAAGTAATTTGCATCAGCAGGGGTTTGGAAAACGAGGTGTGATCTATTGATAGGAAATCTGAGGCTTCAAAGCTCACAGTAGCAGATATTATCAAGTGTTTTCCATCACTGCCTAGTTCACCCAATTCCTGCTATTTGCTTTTTCAGCTCTGGTTTAAGCCAGATGACTGACAGTTCGCGGTTAACCCCGCCTCCTGCCATGAGCAGGGTCCGGTGCCTCACTCTCGATCTCGGTCAGGCTGCGCTGCTCCTTCTCCGTGTCCTCCTTCACCCGCCGCAGGTCCTCCAGCTCGGCCCTCAGGAACTCGCCCTCCCCCAGCGCCTGCTGCCTTAGGTGGCTCTGCTCGGCCAGCTCTGCCTCCAGCTCGCTCACGCGGCTCCGTAGGGACTGGCACAGCCGGGAGCTCTGGGAAGGCATTAGGAGCGGGGGGGGGGGGGGAATGAACGTTAATCGTGCAGTAGAGATGATTGCGGGTCCCGCCAGGACAACCAGAGGCTCAGTTACAGTTCCAGCTGAAACAGCTGATGCTCTGAAAGAGGACACTAAGAAGAAATTCCTGACAAAAAAACGAACCCGGTACCTTTGCACAGCTACTCAGACAACCGCACATAAGAAGAAAATGATGAGATTTCTGGAATCCAAGATGGAGTGCCTCAAATGGACTAAAGCAGTGTTTCTCAATCTAGCCCTCGGGGACCTACAGACAGTCCATGTTTTTGCTCCCTCCCAGCTTCTCGGGAGCAACAATGTGGACTTTCTGGCAGGGAGCTGAGAGGGAGCAAAAACATGGATTGACTGTGGGTCCCCAAGAACCGGATTGGGAAACACTGGACTAACAGACAGCTACAACCTGCAGTGGAACCTTCTTCGACCTAATTTAATGCCAGAATTGCTCCTGTAAATCCTACAGCGGAGACTGGATGGAAAAGGCCATCTAGATCCTCGAGTAATAGCGACAGTGAAACTCAGGAGAGGTGGGGGTCACAGGCCACCATATGCTGTGCTTAAACCACAGGTCACGGCGCCAAAAGCTGTTAATGGTGAGCAGGCAGCTGATGCCCACCTCCAAGCACTACTGTGATGACGACTCCCTGCCTGAGGCTGCTCTGAGGCACAAGCAGAGGCAGTAAATACCTGGTCCGAGAAAAACAACATTCAAGAGCTCAGCCAAATCGGGTGAAAACATCTTTGGAATGAGCTGGAAGGACACACGGCCGAGAGGGAAGAGCTCTGAAGGGAAGCGGGGGGATACTAATCCAGTGTGTGTGTGGGGGGGGAACATTACATTAAAACCACAGCTGATTCGAAATTCTGATTTCCCATGAAAGTACTGCAAAACGCGACAAATCTACGCTGAATATCACAATAAATGCTGGATGAAAACAGGAAATATTTTCCTTCTATTCCTGGGGGCCATTCTTCAGTGTCACAATGGACACTGGAGTACTGTCTATCAAGCAGTGTTAGGACATCATATTTTAATGACTAATTTAATTCACCAATCCATCTATCTATGTTTGGGACGCCGTTATCCACACCCGGGCAATGTACCTCCTGGTTATTCTCAGAAGTGCAGACTTTCATGCAAAAAAAAAAAAAAAAGCACATATATGGTTACAAATTCAAATTTAAAAAGTATAGCTGAAAACATATGGAGTGGTGGAGCTGTAATCTTGTTGCTTGTGTGGTGTCTGAATACACTGGCCAGACTATTAAAATGTTAGCAAAGGCTGGTGGCAGACAGCCTGGTCAGAGATGCTGCTCGCTGCTTGACAACAGCATGCTTTTGCACAAATCACTTCACATTATCGTCTTCCTAAAAGGCGGTTTAATCCAAAGCGATGCACACAGAGCAGTTTAACTGCATCACTCATTTGCACATTCAGAGCCACTCTGATACCTCTCAGTGGAACCGTAAGGCTCTTTCTGAGTCTTGAACATGTACCTTGTTATTGTCAATAACCATTAGTCTCTAATTAACCCAAAACTGAATAACTCTCAATACACAAATCATATTAAAATATGTACAGTTATAAACAGTCAGGGGGGATTGTAGGATTTACTTGGGGTGCTCCTTACACTGCACCAGGTACTATACTTTTAGTAGTAGACCTGCAGGTTGTAGCTGTTCTTCAGTCCAGTGTTTCCCAGTATATACAACAAAATCACATCACTAGGATCCTACTATATTCAAACACACCCTAGTATATTAAACATAATGCTTTTTTCATTTCTTGTCATGCCACCCTGATCGATTTGCTGTATCTGTCCTTCTAACCAGATCTCTCTGCATAACCAAATCTACAAAGAAAGCGTTTCAAGTCCCACCCCAAAGTACCAAAGAAGTACCCCGGTTGGTTTGGCACTTTTGGTACTGGAACTCCACCGGAAGTCAACGGAAAAGCAAAAAGTACTTGGTCTGGTGGAAAAGCGCCCCTAATGTTGGGGACATGAGAGGGCCCATAATTCATACAGAGGGGCCAGCGTTAACATTAGCCAATTATATGTTTTGAATCAGTGAGTGACAGGGGAGGGGACACTCTGGGGGCCAATCAGCTTTCAGCTGAGGCCAATGGCCCGAGGCCCAGCTCTGCATCCTGCCTTATCAGCTACATGCGCTTGCTGAATGAGTATGCCTCTCCTCACCTCCATTTTGAAGGACTCCAGCTCCTCCTTGAGGGCGTGTAGCTCCCGTGTGAGCTGCCCAATCAGGCAGTCCCTGAGAAAGGCCGCAGGGACACAACTGTCAGCCCACATCTATCCATCCATCAGCTACCACACGGACGTACCGTAAAGAGGGCATTAGAGCATCACTAGGTATTTAGGATATACTTTATTTTTTATCACACTGGAGGTAATCCCCGTTGAATCCCCTGACTGAAACGCAGCTGAGCGGCTCCATACCTGTCATCTTTATACATGCCATTCTGGCTGTTGAAATTGAATGGGTCCGAGGAGGAGGAGGTCCCAAAGACATCATCAAATCTGCTCTCGGTGCTCTGTTTAGACAGTGACAGCTTAACTTTTGGTCAACCTTAAAATTCTCAGAAGCTCCATGACAGCACAGGTCCACCTTAAATACTGCGAAATTATGCCTATGAATGTGATCAGCGCTGGCCAAGGCGGGCTCACCGTCTGGACCGGGACGTCCGTGTCGACCAGCTCCTCTGTCTCCACGACGTGCTCACTCTCGGGTGACGAGGCCTCCAGCGGAATCACCACCACCGGGCTGATGTGCTCCGAAAGTGCCGAGGCACGCAGGAAATTGGGCGGGTTCTACGGACCGCCAGCGAGAGAGAAGGCCTGATGAGCACTGGCACCAGAGAGAAGGGCTTCCTTTGTGGTGCTCCAAAGCCCACTCAGATACTGGTGCTTGGCAGGGGGGGTGGGACAGAACTGGGAGGAGGCCACTACACGTTACCTCTGACAACTGCGGAATCTGAATCAACCTCTTGAAATACTGCAGGTTACTGGAGCGGTAGAACAGACTCTTTAGCCTGGAGGGAGAGGAAAGGACAGCATCTTCACTCCAGAGAGAAGCATGAGGTGGATATGGATACGAGCTGAAAACCAGCGTGGGCTGTAAAGGTACTGGGCACAGGGACAGGAGAGACGGGCCCACGCTGGTGACCTGGCAGGCACGCAGACAGCAGTGCTGCCCCCCCAGAACCCATGTTCTACGGGTCCCCCAAGAGGACATACTTCTTGAACTGCTCTAGGAAGCGATCCCGGTGGCCCTGGAGTGTGTCTGCTGGAAGGCCTGTGGAGGCAGACAGACGGATAGATGAACAGACCTTGAGTGGACCTCAATATCAGCCATTTTCTGTATGCATATAGACGCAAATCAAGTCTTGTACAATAGAATACTGTACAATCAGAATGCCCAAGATTTCCGAATACCATATGAATAACGTATTATAAAGACAGTATTCTTACAAAACATTTTAAATGAATACATTCCCAGCAAATTAATACTCTCAGCATACTCTATCCATCCATCCATCAACCATTTATCCTGGTCAGAGTCACGGGGCCATATTTAACCCAATATATACATACACTATATGGACAAAAGTATTGGGACACCTGGCTGTTAAATCTACAGGAGCTTTTATGACCTCCATTTTGATTCGTCACTGCACAGAATACGTTTCCACTGCTCCAGAGTCCAGTGGTGGCGTCTTACAGAGCTCCACCCAACGCTTGGCATTGCCCTTGGTGATATGACTCGGCCATGGAAGCCCACTCCATGACACTCCCTGCACACAGTTCATGTGCTGGGGTTAATGCCAGAGGAAGTTTGGAACTCTACAGTTAGTAAGTCAACAGAGCATTGGCTATTGGTTTTACTTGGTGACCTCGCTCTGTTACTTTACGCGGCCTGCCGCTTTATGGCTGAGTTTCGGTTGTTCCTAAATACTTCCACTTTACAATAATACCACTCGCGGTTAACCATGGAATATCCAGCAAGGAAGAACTTTCATGAACTCACTGAAGCTTCTTTCACAAATGTTTGTAACCCTCACTGCATGTTTAGGTGCTTCATTTTATACACCTGTGTCAATGGATCTAAATTCAATTATTAAGAGGTATGTCCTAATACTTTTGTCCATATAGGGTACATGTCATGTAATTTAAAGACCTGCATTTAGAGAGTGTTCACCTATGCACATTTATACTTAGTTTAATGTAATATAAGTATCACTCCATTTGGTAATTGCTTCAGAGACTGCTTATCAGGAATGCCTGAATATTCTCAGCATCTCCAGCTTGTAAATGAGATTGCTGAGAGACCAGCTGAGCTCTTAACATAATTAAAGGTCTGCAATGAAGGTGCTTGTGCACCAGTGCTAAATTCTGACAGCAGCTGTTTATTCTGATAGAAATACACAGGGGTGCCCGTAGTCGTGGCTACTGGGGAGCTTTGAGGAACCCATGATTATTAAAGTGAGGGAAACCCACCCCCCCACCAGGAGACTCACAGGAATGCAGCTTGAAGAGCAGCTTGACGGTGTAGTCATACAGGTGGCTGCAATCCAGGATCACCTGAATGAGGGGAGCTAGGCGACACTGTCCCGCCGCCGTCACCGATACGGAGCGCGACATGTCCAGCGAGCTGAAAACTGGAAGGGGAGGAGGCGGGGCACACACTTAATGGACAGCCAAACAGGTAGATATGAGAGAGTCTTATTGGCCTTCACAACCAGGCTGAACAAGGAGGCGGGGCCAGCTCTGGCCCAACAGGCAAAAAAGGTTCTTAAAATATGCCCTTCAATACACAATTAGGGGGGTGTGCCACAAAGCAGGATTTCTTGCTTAGCTGGATAACCTGTTGGATTTAAGGTTGTCTGGGCAAAATGGTCTTTATGTTCATTCACCTACATTTAGCCCAGACTACCTCAAATGTGAAAAGTTATGCAACTAAGCAAAGAAACCCTGCTTCGTGAAACATCCCCCGGACTCATTCCATCTAGTTCTCATAAACCAAAGATTTAGTATCAAAATTTTACAATTGCTACATTCACTTATTGGTCTCTGACTTATAATAATTAGGTATGTTGGAGCAGAAAATGTTGGCTATTCCCAGAAATGTCACCTACTCCTGGCAGAACGTTTCAAATACTCATTACGATCCAAATAACAAACACTGCCACATTGTGTACATTCTGCTGAAAACACTGAACTTTTGATCCACCCAGAGATGCTAAATCAAACTGGGGTACAGATTTATTTTTCACTTCTAGCTACCAGTTCCTCTCTTTGTTTTATATGAAAGCACAACGAAGTACGATCGGGCCAATCAGATCAAGCCGCCGCAGTGGAACACGCCCAGCGCTCCGTCGCCTGACAGCTCCCATTGGAGGGCAGGTGCTTGCTAGCTCGGCGTACACAGAGCATGACCTCACTGCGTGGGGACTGAGACGAGGGGTGGGGTGATCTAAGCACCCATAGGACTGAGGCGGGAACATTACCCATGAGGCTGTGCAGGAACTGTGGTTGAATGGAGGGGAAGTGTGAGTCGAAGCTGCAGACTGGGCTGCACTCAGCGCCCCCGCCAACCCAATCTCTCCCTCCCACCCCCTGTCTCCCCAGCAGTGCGGTGCCCACTCCCACCACGCCTGGCTTAGAAGCCAGGTCCCAGGAGACTCTTCTCGCTCCAAACAAAGGTGTGGCTTCCTGAGCCCTGTGCCATGCCAGGTTCATGCATGGCCTTCTGGGTATTTTTTTCATAAGGAGAGTGAGGCTAACTGCTGGTGGAGGGACAGAAGGGTGGAGTGGACATGCCCACATATAGCACATAGAGGAGCAACCCTTAGAGGGACTGTTGGAGAAGCATTCCAGGTGGCTACATCTGGAAGCTGGCTCAGAGAATGCCAAGAGTCTGTGGTACTGTCAAAGCTAAAGGGGGCTGTTTTGTAGAGTCATTTGAGAAAAGGTTGAGATGCTGAACACTTGGTCGTCACAATATGTATTATGTGTCACCTCACTGCCTTGAGCCTCTTTACTATAAGGTAAATAACAAATGCATTACAAGCAGGTGTGTCCAGACTTTTGACTGGAATGGTATATAAAACAGGCCTTACCTCCCAGGAAGAGGGTCAGCTCACACTCCAGGTAGTCAAACATCTCTACTGTAATCTGGAAGCTACACACCAGGGCAGATGTGTAGGACAGGGAGAGAAATTTTAGTGGCAAACCCTGCTACTGCAGGTACTACAGTGAAGTGTTTACGGTCTTTGTAAATAAAAGACCCCGTTTTGTAATGGCTGACATTCCAAATCAATGTGTTAATTCGTAATTCTATGTTATTGTTCTGTATCGTCCTGTATAAACAAAGCACATCCTGCCAGCTCCTCTTGCAAAGAAATTATCCATTAACTGAAATTAGGGTGTTCTGTCTAAGCACTAGACTAAGTACTGCTATACTTCTGTTTTTTTGTCATTCTTAATGTAAGGCCTTCAGGTTCTTTTCATGCATTTGTCACAGTTAAAATAAAATAAAACAAAGCCCAGCAAATGGTAAGACAAAGGCGAGATTGTGCGGTTTCTTCCATAATCACAGTGTTCTGGGCCTGGCCTCTGCGTTCTGCTGCCGTAGGAGTCGCTTATCCAAGGGGGAAAAGCCAGCCACACTCACAAGTTGTTGACATCGTTCTCTCCTGCTTCCTCGAGCTGCTTGTCTGTCATCTGCAGGTTGCCGGGGAAACGGGGATTCTGGGCACAGTTGTGACAGACCGTTAGCTAAGGGGGATCCGCTTGGTTTAACAGCGCCGCTCACATGTTTATTCTACACAGCTGAAAGCTTGACGGCCCAGGTACGGTAAAAGCAGCCAAGCAGAGGCCTCAGGGGGATGTGCCAGGAAGGAGGCGCGGTCCTAAGTCAAATCGCTCACCTTGACGTGAAACTCCATTTTAGTAATGAGCAGTTTGAGGTAGATGCTGCATAGCTTGCCATAACCTTCGCTCAGGTGTCCCTGCAGGAGGTGCAGAGAGAGAGAAACGGACCAGTCAGCCTCCATCTTAAAGTGCCAAGAAAGGTGAGATTCAGTTCTGCAGAGGCGGAGCTTGAGGCTCGACAGAAGCCAGCGGGGGACTAGCGTGGGGGAAAAGAGCTGCCTGTCATAACATGGAGCTACAACGCTGAGAAACAACTGCAACGAGTCATTCTCAATCTGAAACATGGTCACCAGCATGAACAAAGGCTAAGCTAACAGGAACGACCTGACAGGGGACCCTCATCCTTGCGGCAATTATGCAAGCCTCTGAGGTGGGTGGGATTACCATGTGCAGCCAATCACGCCTAGCCGATCCCACTTTCCATTGAAGCAAAAAAATCAACCGATGATTTTTAGCGTGAATAAATCAGGAAGGAAGGTTTCAAATCCTGATATCTATTACAAGGCCTAAGGTGAGGTTTTCCCTTCAGTTAAAATTGCCACAAAATATATCTTACGTATCCAGCATGGCTCAAAGCTTAGGGTCAGCCTATTCCCATCCAGGAAAAACCTCAGAACCACCCCCCCCCGCCCCCAATTTGGTGACACATCTACCAATCAATAAAGCAGAACCATCTCCAAATGAAACGTACGATAAACACAAGTCATTCGACTGCGGACTTGATTACGTGCATAAGCCTTGCCGTCGAGTGCACGGCAGCCTTGCAGAAAAATGTGTGTCTAGCGCAGCGTGACTATTGCAGCCCATACGAGACACTCAGCTTCAATAATGTGCATCTGGCATCCTGGAACACGGGGCCTGCGTGCGGCCCAGCCAGCACTAAGACAAAGGCAGGATTGTTAATGCTAGGAATGACACGGCTTTGACTGGAAAAAAAAGGAAGGGGGGAAAAGGTAAACCTGGCTTTCATTTTTCAGTCATAGTTTCATCCTGCCAACCTCGAACAGACCATCATAGGCTCAATAGAAGGGACACGCAGAGGTGAAAAACCCGATTAAAAACTACACTGGTCACAAGAGGGAAAATATTACAGTCAGAGATTCTAGCTAGGCTCATTTCGCTTCTCAGTCTTCCTTATTCTGCTAGGCATCCCACAGGACAAATCGAGCGGCCAGAGAGAGCCTGCTCCCGGCGCAGGACGCTCAGACACAGCAGGGGACTGCTGTCACACGGGGGCTCACAGGGAGGGGACACACACAAGCTACATACACAGGACATACACACACAGGGGACAGGTGCAGAAGATATACGAAGAGACACACAAATACAAGAGATAATCAAAGGAGATACATGCAGAGATGCACAGACAGAGGAGACAAAGAAGACACACAGACAGACATATAAATACAGGAGACAATCACAGGAGATACACACCGAGACACACAGATACAGGAGATACACACCGAGACACACAGATACAGGAGATACACACCGAGACACACAGATACAGGAGACAATCAATATACTCCTTTCATTATTTACACTGCTCTCTTTGCTGTTTTGCACTTTTGAAGAACACAGTCACAGGGCAGAGAATAGCCACACGTGTGTGCACACACACATGCACATGCGTGGGTGTATAGCAAGCCTTTCACGGGTAGGTATCGTGTTCATGGTGACGGTCAGCAGCCAGTGCTCAATCTGCCACGCTAGACTGGTACCATCACTAATACATGAGACGCTACAGTGCCATTACAGCAGGGTTGGCTATTCGCTCCACACCGGCAGCATCCTGTTGCAGGACCTCATCATTATATACTACCTAATGGGGGAGCCAGAGTCGGGTGATTATTGTCCGCTGAGCTGCCGCTCGATACGGGGGCTTGCCCTCACCCCCTGACCACCACATCTTGGTTCTTACCCACATCCTGCTCATGTCGCACAGGTCTGCTTTGTTCCTCATGGAGTCCTTTATTACCTGGATACAAACACAGACACGGCACACGTGAGGCATCACACTAACCAGGGACAGGCGTCCGCTTTGTTTTCTCTCCGCCTAACTGTCGCTTCGTTTGTTTCGTTCAGTGTGAAATGAGTGAGCGAGCGAGGTGTGAGCCGGGCACACTCACGTTGGGATGCCCGTCCCGCAGCAGCTTGTGGAAGACGTGGCAGAACTTCCAGCAGAGCACGGCATTGCTGGACAGGGGCAGCCGGTTGACTGCGGCCCAGAAGGTGTGGGCGCCCTTTTCGTGGTGTGTGCCCAGAATGCACGGTGGAGGGGGGGGAGCAGTTAAGGAGAAAGGGGAGTGGGAAAGACAGCCAGAGAGTACTGGGCGCTCTACATCGACTAATAGACGCACACACAACATGCGTGTCTGCGGTATCCTCATCTGCCGTAGACGTAAAAAGGATATTCCTGGCATGTTTCTCCTTCACGGCAACCTCCTGCGTGTTGATGGCCTTATTGATGCTCACGGCCTGTTGAGGAGGAAGAAAGGAAGTCAGGGTGACGTGAAAATAATTGGATGGTAGAGTCCTATAGCTGGAATCCCGGTGTCAGCTGGTGATTGTGACAGGCAGTGGGAGGGGGGGGGCTCCCCGCACTCTGTGTGTGTGTGTGGTGGGGGGGGGGGACTAAGCTGGACAGAGTCCCTTGGCTTGACAGCATCTATTAGAGCAAGGGCCACGTTTGGATGTGCCTACGGTGACCACAGGGGGTGCTCTGTCACCACTGTCTGTACACTAACCTACAGCCTCCACCTTGTGATGGACACGTGAATCCCCACAGTTACGTCCCAATCCTCCCTCCTATCCCCTGGCTAATTGGGCTTCCAATTATGGGACGGGGGGATGTGGTTGATACAGTGTGCTGACAACTGTATCAGGGACAAAACTAATGTTAAAAGGACTGTACGTTCTGCTTGTCTTCTGTGGGGAAGGAGGCAACATGATGAGACAACTCTGAGTCTGGGGCTCAATATTCAGGAAAAACGGGAAAAAAAGGGGAACCTAAATAAAGCTTTTCATGTTGTCAGTGCAGCTGGCTCACATGCCCCCCTTATCCGATTTCAGCTGAAGGTGATAAAAGAGAGGCTTTAATGTGGCAGATGGAGATGGAGAGATGAGGGGGGGTGTGAGGCCTTTGAGTTGCGGCATTGGGGAGGGTCACTGCTCACGCTGGGGGTCCTGTGCTCTTTTGAGGGCCCATTTCCTCATGGCTACTCAGGGCCCTGCCTGATCCTGGCTCTACTCCCTCGACCTCTCCTCTCCTTTCCTCTCCTCTCCTTTCCTCTCCTCTCCTTTCCTCTCCTTTCCTCTCCTCTCCTTTCCTCTCCTCTCCTCTCCTCTCCTCTCCTTTCCTCTCCACTCCCCCTCTAGACATCAACTGCCATGCCACACAGGCGGCAGCCCGCATCGATCTCCTCAGTATTGGATGGGAGGCCTATAAAGCACCTGCTTAGGGTGTACTGACTGTCATTAGGTATCGTGAGAGAAATTGTCCTTCCTGGTGTTTGTGCTTCTAAAGGTTAGGACTCGAGCTGGTGATCGGAAGGTTGCCAGTTCAAATCTCATGGCTGGCAGAGCGCCTTAATCCAGGAACACTGCCCGACCCTGCTCTCTGATCCTCAATTGTACATTGCTTTGAAAAAGTCTGCTAATAAAACAAATGAAATAAGACTGTTTGCAGGGTTTCAGCCAATATGCACTTAAATTATAGACCTTGCTGAATCATATAATTTAGGCCAGGGGTGGGCAATGTTATCCGCAAAGAGCCTCTGTGTTTGCGGGTTTTCACTGCAACTCCCTAATACTAATTAGAGGACTGATTGGCTGAAAAGTCCTCACACCTGGGTTTGAACAGCTGACCTAAAGGTTATCCCAAAAACCTGCATGCACACCGGCCCTTTGCGGATAAGATTTAGGCCTTGCAGTACCTAGGCTATTAGCAGTAAAAAGAGAAATTCTTCATAGTCAGTGGCCTAGAAGTACTTAAATTTAGGCGCTCAACCATTAGCTATCAAAGACTCACATCTGCTTACTCAAAACAGACATTTCAGTTGAATGCTCCAATTCAACTCTATATTAACAGAAATCATAGAGAGAGACTGTGACACTTAACTTATGGACAAATAAAATAAACATGAACAAAATTAAGCAATCACATATTTAGTTTTACAGCAAACATGAAAGCTACTATATTTCAAAGAAAAGGCTTGTTGGAAGTTCATTACAGATATTAAATTTGTATAATATCTACACCAGCTAGCATATCATAGAGACCCCCCAGGAGGCACCTACAACGTGTCAGTAAGATAAAAAGTCAATGGCCGGCCACCTGCCCCCACACACCAATCTTGGTCAATACACCAATGAGGGGGTGTGGTCAACGAAAGTAAGAACCACCTGAACAAATCTAACAAAAATGAGAGGCGTTGTCAGGAGTGAACCAGACGACAGATGGTAGACTGACAGTGTCTGCTGTCCATGGACCGTGGAGTGAGACATACAGCAGATACTTAGTCTGGGTATGGCTTCTCTGTATGGAACCGGCAGTGCTGGACCACTGGTGAAACAGACCAATACCCTGACGACCGGGGGGGGGGACAGGATGCTCATTAAACAAGATCAGCCACACTGATGAGAGGTGGTGCTGATCACGCCTCTTAGTGATGGAAAAATCCATATGTCCAATGTGACAAGGTCAGATAAGCCCATATCCTTCTGCAAGACATGAGTGCAGTTTCCAACATCTGTAACTTCAAGAAGGCCACAAAACCTTACAACTAATACCCTGAATTTAATCCGTTCACAAGAGCTGTTGAATTATATATAAGCGATTGGCCTATCTGAATCCAAAATGACCACACACTGAAATCCACTTTTTCTTGTTTTGTTTGGTACTTTTACTATGACACCAAACTGTTTGGATAACATTTTATGCATCAGAGTTTGGCTGGTAAGCTTTAGATGACTTTTACTCCTGACAACAATGCACCGATTCATTAAATTAATGCCAGAAACCTCCCCCACTTGCAGACGACAGAACTGGGGGGGACATGCCAATCACTGAGGACATGGGGTAAAATAAAAACAAAAAACTTGTCTCCAGCACTACCCAGTCCCTGTCTCCTTGCTGCTAGCCTGTCGCCGACCTTCCACACAACTCAGAAAACATATAATTTGACCCGACGTTATTGCAAAACTTGCACACGCAGCCCTATACATCATTTACAAAAGTCCTCGAGCTTCGAAGAGTCATCATTCTGTAAGAAACCATTATCTCAGAACCACTTATAAAACAGGTACAGGGACCATCTATAGAATTACAGTGGCTGTGCCTGACACTCAACAGTTCTGTGAAAGGAACGCAAAATGGTTTGGTGAGACATAACTGTTGCCCCTTCCAAAATCATTAAGTGTTTTAAACTTAATACATAGCCGCACCTGCTTTAATAAAAAGCGATTATGCCGTCCGATACGGGCACATGGGCTCATGTGCAAAGCGGGGAGGCTCAGGTGTCTCGCAGGGTCAGTAAACGCACCTGGCTCCACTCCAGGTCCATTTCTCAAGCCAGCTGAGAACACACCCAGTGATGCAGCATTTGATTGCTTCAGCCCTAAACTGAATTTCCTCACAAGTCATTTCCTGCAATTTATTATTTAAAAAAAGACAAGTTGTTGAGTAACAGCTTGGCCAACAGGAGCACGTTCTTGGCGAGTCACCATTTTGTTACGCAAAACCGGAGCCCGGTTTCATGTAGGGCGACTTCCTCGTTTATCGATTAAATACACAGCAGGAGTATTAATCTCCAAGAATCGCCTGCGTCTCACTTCTGGCCTTACAAATGCAGTAAAATAAAGGGCAGCCCGCTTAAGAGCGTGCTAACCTTAAAACGAGGGGAAGAGCCGCAGGCAGGCTTTGGAAGGCGTTTGATGCGAGCCACTACACTCAGGGACCTCTTCCCATCCACACCTCTTATCTGCCGTACGGCTAAATTCCAGTATGGCCCTCCTTCAAGCTCGGGGAGGCTTAGGAAGCAGGGAGCAGATACCACTGTAATCGTGATTAGGCTGTTAATTACAACCAACCTCCTCGACCCGAATCGTCACTCGCTACCTGATAGAGGTGTCCAATAGCTACAGGGTGCTATATCTGTCAACCATACATTTCATAAAAAAAATGGGAAATGGCAAATGGTGTAACTATAATGGCTGGAATGTATCATCTGGGTTATGGTACAACAGGCAGGATACAACATCGATTCCCCTTCTAAGAACAAGCAAGAATGAGAGTACAAGATAAGACAGCTAATGGAGTAGAAAAACTAGGCGTCATTACAGGTGTATCTGGAAGTTAGGAGGGCTGAAGGAGTTAAGCAGCCTAGTTTCCAGCATTTTAAAGCCCTGCCCGGTGTGGGGTGAGTGGTGGCTGACTCCCTGGCCTGTCTCTGAATTGGTCTTTCTGAGCTCTCTCATGTAAACCATTACCTCACTGTTCTCTAGGGTGGTTCCAATAGGCAACAGAGACCAAAAATATCTGTCCGCTTCCTTTATGCATACAAGCACGCCCTTTAAGATTAAGAAAAAAAGAACAAATCACTCTGTATTTTGGAACTCACTTTTATTTCCATAAACATGAACTCCACTCCGTCTTTAAGATCGTCACGCTGAAAAAGCCCCTGTGAAGGGAGTCACTCCCACAACCCAAGTCCGTTTATTTCTGTAATTTACTTGCGTCTGACTAAAACACCCACTCCGATGGAATGTTCCATCCTTGTTCTCCTGATGGGGAGCGACCAGGACACTTGTACTTTTGGTTGGCCAGCCTCCACATGTGACAACATAGGCATGCTATGCTGTAAGAATGCCACATTAAGCAAGTCAAGGTTTTTAAACTTTCACACATATACTAGATGTATTTAAAAAAAGACAGATAGATTAGTCCTTGCAGATGAAATATCTCCTAAGCTAAACAAAAAAATAATAATTAAAACCCAAACAATTTTGAGTTCTCAGGGTCACCAAAGCTCACTTTACCATCTACAGATGTGCCATGTGGTGGCACCAAGTACCAGATTTCACAAACCCCCCCGTCCCTGTTAATTCCCCTTCTTCTCAGAATGATAATGGGCCACCGCCTTTCATTTTAAGGACATTAAAAGGTTAGGGTACAACACCCATGGGGCTCGGGCAAGGGAACAGATGCAAACAACACCCATAAAAGGGTTATAAACGGGCCACCGGTCATTGGCGTCCAACTCGATGGCCTGTAAAAGCAGAGGGGGCCTAATTAAGATGCCTCCGGTTGGTTCCTAGTGAATAGGCTTCCTCTGCATCTGAAACACTTGCGGCACTGTGCACAGGGACGCCTCCCAAAGACAGGCTGGGCATAGGAAGTGAAATCCACGTCCGTGCAAGTGGCAGACTTTCAAGCCCATACCCAAGCAAACCCAACCGCCAGTGCTCCACCAGGAATCAAAAACGACTCACCACATTAAGACACACAAGAACTGCATACGAAATGCGAAAGAGGCCATCATGAATAAGTAACGAGTTTTACTGGTGGATCTGCACCTGTCTCAAAGCCACACGATCAACTGGTCTCTCCATAGGCAGCATGAACTACTGGGCCGTGGCTGAAACAAGACATGTGCACACAAGCAATTAAAGATGCTGTGATTTACAAATACTGGGCAGAAGTACAGGGGAAATTATAACATGTTCAGATGGTGTAGTCAATTAAATACAAAAAAGTCATAGCACAAGTCCTGTACGGGAATAATTCAATGGGCAATTTTGAAATTGTGGAAAGGTTTTCAAACTGGTTTGGTAACACCATGTTTGACAACAAAACCACACCAGAGAATGTATTTCTTTATTGTTGACATTTACTAGGGTCATGGTACGGAAGAATCAATACATATTTACTGCATTTTATTTACTGGATAGAAAAAATAGAAAGGATGGTACAATACATCATTCTGTGAAAAATGGGATACAAATCAACTGTTTAGACAGTATGTAGCGTAGATTTAAGAAGATCTTAATCCCTTTAAATCCCTGCATATTTATGGGTTAGATTATATTAAGGCATTTTCCAGCACTAATGGTACATACACAGTGCTTAAACAGCTCCGGGTGTAAAAACCAGTGCTTTTAAAGAATTCCAATTACACCAATTCAAAATTGTTGCGATGTATTTACACTGGTCAAGGTGATTTACTGAAACATATGAGCTGTCTTTGTATCGTCTCTTAACTACATTTAATCTGTAAGGCATACTCATATATATAAAACATTTATTCAGCGTGCCGAACGTCTGTGAACGGGGAGAGTGTTAAATCATTCATTCTTCAGTTATTCATTTATTATTCACAAGCTGTGATAAAACGTTAGAATAATCGTGTTTTATATTCTCTGTGGGCTAAATGCATATTCCTTCTGGCAAAAGTTTATTGTATATTATCAAAAAGCACCCCCATCTGACAAAAACAACATCGCAGATATATCTTGAGAATAACTGGACTCGGAACATCTCTCTGAAATAGCTTTTTCTTCGCTAATTAAACGACTCGGTCACGAGGTTTCATTTCATAACACATATTTGAGATTGAACTATAAAGAGATTTATGCGTCATTTTTCATCCAATACATCAAAGACCGTGCCATTTCACTGGATGGTATTCGAGCGTTTCCATACATCTTAATCGTCGCTTAGTGTATACCGCAGTCTTTCATACAGATGCCTGCTATGTTATCATTTCAACAAACAGGAGAACTTTTTATGCTAAGCAATCAAAGGTGGCATCGTTTCGTGGGGATGTGTCCCTCTCGGCTCGTATCCTGCTTTCACGGAGACCGAAACGTCACCGTTGCAGAAACACAGCCTGTACCATTAGATACCTTATAAGTATTTGGCTACCGAATATCTCCAGTTACTTCTAAGATAAACTGTTTATGAAAGCGACCCTGACCAGAAATGTCGCCAACCACACAGCTAAATATTCCCATCAGGGAAGTATGTTAACATGACCAGGCACGCAAGGAGACAAGCCCATCTCCACTCCGTCCGTCATATCTCACGAATGCAAACATGCAGATCGCCAGATTAGGGGGAAAAGAGGACACATGAGTTTTCATGCCTGTTGCAAAAAACTTCAAACTCTTACGTTAGCTGGAAGGCAAACACTATAAAACACTAAAGTCAACTGAAGAATCATTAATCGGTCGTAAAACTGTATTCGGTTACCTAATAACAAAACCCGTGCTTCCGTTTCTGTAAATCGTAAAACGCAAGGATGTCATGGTCGAAAACAACAACAGCCACGTCCTTCCCCACCGCCCGCAAGCACATTTTTTCGGGGGGCACGATTCTGTTGCATCAAACTAATATCCATCGATTCGTGATCGCTGCATCTTCTCCGCACGCACACCGACACATCAAGCTGCGCCCTTGAGATCGAGCAGAAAACACATACACGCCATCCAAGACACCTTACCATTTTTCCAAGATCCATAGTTTCGCGAAAAATATATTAGGTAGAAGGTGAACTCCAAAAAACGTTATGGAAGAGCAACGAGCGATAAAAATTAAATAAGTCTGATTTTTAAGGAGGATGGGGGTTGGGGTAGGGGGTACCGGGAGCAGTGTTAGCTCAACATGTGTCCCGAATTGCCAAATAGGCAAGTCTTTTTAGTTCAGTCCCCTCCTGCTGCCTCTTCCTCCGGCAATGCGCTACGGAGCCCCCAGCTAACGTTAACGGCAGCCGCTCACAGCATCCACGGCTAAAAAAGTGCAGCAAAACGGCCCACATACGCTATCCAGCGGGGCATACAATCCGACACCTTCGCGCACTTGCACGACTTTTTCTCCCCCCAGAGATAAAAAAAAAAACACGCAGGAAGGAAAATGTTTTATTCCATGACTGTGGTTTGTACGGCTGCCCCTCTCCTGATGATTGAGATGATGATGTCGATGTCGATAACAGTGATGATGATGATGATGATGATGATGATGATGATGATTAACTGAGCAAAGCAACCATGCGAAAGCAATGTGCATGTCCACAAAGAAGAGCTCCTGCCGGAAATCTTAAGCTACAAGAGCGCTGAACAATAAAAAGAAGAAGCGTATTTAAATAACAAGAGCAAAACAGGGGGCGCACATCAGGAATTTAATTCAAACAGCACTGGGCAACCGGAGAAGGAGGGAAATGAGAAGGGGCGTTACGCTGCTCTTCACAGGGGGGTGAGGAAGGGAAGAAGGGGCGCCGGAAACCCCGGTGGGAGACCCTTTACTGCCATATTGACCCTCAGCGGCATACTGACGAGAACGACTGACAACGGTTCCCAAATAATTATTGAATACCCGAAACATCATGGTTTACTTAATAAAGCATACCACACGCGCTAAAAACTGTTTGATATGGTTATAAATTCCTGGACAGACGTGCCTTAAACCCTGTCATATATTTGTATACTTCAGAAGGTACCTACTGGGGAAAAATGTCCAAGCAACGTACGTGTCTTTTATTATTTCACGCTTCTTGGGTATAGGAACGAAGGGCATCGTAACGGAGGAATGTCATTTATTAACTTATTTAAACACAGTGTGGTTTTACGAGAAACTTTCATTTCACCAAACGCGCACGCCGACTTCAGCACCGCAAAACCGCGCACAGGGATGAACGGCGACCGCCAGGCGCTCAACAAGTACTGTGCAATTATTTAAAGAACAGAAAGCGAAACTTTTACAATAGATAATATTATAGAAAGAGAATTTTAATACAAGTTAACAACTTAGAAATATATGGAAGTAGTTCTTCCCACCCTAACCACCAAAACCGTTTTCTTGATTCTGCCATACAGGCAAACATCGCCCTCTTTTGGTTACATTTAATGGAGCTTAAAAGGCTCAAATAGCGATTCAATGGATACTAACAGCAATTTTAGGCGTTACGTGTAAAATCAAAATTCGGAAATCATAATGTAGGCCTATATATCACTGATCAGAATCCGATAAGTTTGAGAATATTTCAACTTTTCTATAAATTTAACCAAATATGTAACTATCCACACTCAAAAATATGTCCAATCAACATAATAGTTATAAATTAATCTGACTGACAGCAGTTTGGATTAGTATCTCCTCACTGCCATAATGATTTGGGAAACTTTGGTCTTCAACAGACAGTAGGAGTAACGAGCCCCGTACTAGCTTCTCTCAATAACACAGCAAGCAGATTACTGTACAGTGTGTGTGTGTGTGTGTTTTGGGTGGGGGACAGCCGTGTTGATGCTGCACCAGTGGTGACAATTTAAGGCCTGTCCCTTTATCATGATGCAGCATCATCTTTAAGGTCTTATGAGCGCTGTGTACCCTTTAAAAAAAAAAAAACAGGAACGTACAAAATAGGGATGCAATGAGGGGAGTCGTGAAACACTACGGGAACAATGACATTTTGGTCAGCCCTAACCATGTGCATGTATGGCTTTGTGTATGTGTTTCAGGGTAACTGGAAGTCCTGTTCATGTTTTGCGTGCTTCGTGGGCAGCCAAAGTATTTGCCGCATGATCGATATTCACACAATTAGTTTGCTGACAGTTCAGAGGAAGGAGCCCAGGGTGGTGGGGGGGGGGGGTGGAAGAGTACATGGGACTGCAAGCGATGGTGGGGAGAGAGAGTGGAGGGATTAGAGTACACTCGCCTGGGCCTGCCCTTCTGGCTCTGTCAGTGCCCAGGGAATATCACCACACCCGCTACCATCACCCCACCGCATTCCACAGCTGCCAGGGCACCGATTACCCCAGCGGTGCAGCAAGGGAGGCAGTGCTGAAGAATGGCAGACCCAGAGAGCGAGGGTTGTGACCCTTGGCCTGGAACGAGAGCCTGAGGCCTGCTGCTGTGGGCGGGACGGGGCGCTCGTTACCATGTGAGGGAACCAAAAGGCCACACTCCAGCAAGAAAATAGGCGAGATTATTGTTGGAGCTCCAGAGACCTCAGCTGACTAGAACGACATCTGAGACCTTCGGAATGGGCTACAAGCAGTGGTGGCTTAATGGTTAGGGAAGCGCACTTGTAATTCAAAGATTATAGGTTCGAATCCCCGACCAGCAAGGCACCACTGAGATACCCTGAGCAAGGTACTGCCCCCAAGCACTGCTCCCCGGGCGCTGAATTAGCTGCCCCCTGCTATGTCACATTGTCACATATGGGTTAAATGCAGAGGACACATTTCGTTGTTGTGCACTGTGTGCTGTGGTGTGTCAACAATGACAACTAATCACTATATTCTAAAGCATCAGGAAAAGCTGTAGGCTGTCCCAGCCCTTTACGTAATACACAGGACCCCAGACAGTGGCCTACTACTTCCTGCCATAAGGGTCACGTCACGTTAGTCATTAAGCAGTATCTACTAAAGAGCCCTTCAATTCAAGTACATTTTAAAGACTGCAGGGGGATCCTGCATCCCTCAGGAATGTTCCGGAAGAAACAGCAGGCATTAAAGAATGTAACCAGGAAGTCGGGGGGGAAGGGGTGGGGGGGAGCGTTTCCTCCTCCTGAGTGCAACACAAACACATCCACAATAACCACTGCATCTGAATGCCTGAATGGAATGACCTCACCTTTGGGGCAGCTAAACGCGCTGCTTTGTGGCTGAAGAGTGTCAAGTCCTCCCCATCAAAAAGAATATTATATATATATAATAAATATATATAGCATTGTTTGCACAGTGATGCAAAACATATCATTCTTTTGAGAAGTTTGAACTACTGTCTTTTTTCCACTTGCCTCAATACCACAGGATTGAAATGCAAACTAAATGCATTACACTCTGTAACAACAAGAACACTTTGTCATTACACATATACAGGCTAGTGAGGCACCAGCAAGGAAATTTCTGCCAGATAACAATAGCTGATTATTCTGAAAACTGACACCAATATCGATAACAACCGTTTGGGAGATTCTGCTTAAATAAGTTTAAAGGGACACACTACCCAAATACATTAAAAAATAAATTCTTTCCAAAAATATGAAAAAGTATTTAATTTTGGTAAGAAAACAAACACCAACTCAGGCATACATCAATCCCAGAGCACTATATTTTATGACTATACATCTTATATATTTATAACATTTATATCAGTGAATGGTTGATCATCAAGTGTGGTAAACTACATCATTTTGCGGGTAATATATTTTGATTTTGCACTGTCTGCACTGATTTCTCTTTCGCTATCAAGCACTTGCATTACTGACAGACTAATGTTATTCAACAGTACTGCAGCCTTCTTCATTGGAGCGGATTCTTTTTCCGAAACTCTTCATACTCTTGGGGTATGAAGTCTCAACTTAAGGTGACCAATCAAATTTGTTGTGCTTAAACGTTTATTAATAGATCCTCCTCGTGAAATTTTATGAGGTTAATGTTTGCAAAATGCATTTCTAATGTCACTTTCGCTAATGTTAAAATAATTCCACATAGCAGACATTTTTCTAACTGGTTAGTATGTGCGTGTGCAAAACAATATGGGTCACCATTTCAATGGAATTATCGTGGTAAATATCGGCTAGTTTTTAGCCATCAGACGGCCAGTTCCTGCTGTATTGGCCAATACTGATAGTTGGCTGATACAATCGGTGCATCTCTCATACGTACCATATTTTACTAGGTGTATTAACAGTGGAAAGGAATGGATCTCCTACAAGGTTGCTAAAAGACAAATATAACTCCCATAACTGCATATGGTTAGTTCTATGGTAACAGAATTACAATCAGAGGAAAATCTGGCTACAATTTGAAAAGAACTGACTGACACTGCTTGAAATACCATCAGTTCTCTGCTGTTGTATCCCAACTATCAAATTATACTGTATCATGGGCGACGCCCTTCTCCAAATGCATGACATTTTGGTAACGGAATTACCTCTGCTGTAGAATTACCCATATAATAAGCATGTGTACCCCGTCCATCAAATAAGCAACACCCTGGGCGATCTTAGCTAGTATGCTTCTGAGGGAATTCAGCTGCTGGTCATATCAGCAGCGCTTTGATTAGTTTGCCAAGTTCAATCGCAAGACAAATAAAATACATGACAAACAGCTTAGCAACGATACAGTTTATCAAACTGCTATCAACAGCGGTAAATAGACAACAAAAAGCTATAAAGAAATTCAGCTGATGGTGTAGAGAGGAATGTGAAATTTTGGCCATGCGAGTCTGATGAAAGGGCCGTACAGACTGACCCACATTCTGCATAGAGTGTGCTGTGCAACCTAACCCAGTAACCTGCAAGTTATGTCTGTCTGTACAGGGCTGCCCCATTTCTGTGGGAGCAGGTGGAGGAAAAAAAAAATAAAGCAGAGATCCATGTTCCCTGACTGGAGGAGCAAGAAGGGCTTTGAGGGGGGTCTGAGGGCTTTTGGCAGTGCAGCTTAGCATTGTGCAATTTATCTGGCCTACTTTGTGCAGCGTGTTTCTGGTGATGCTTTCGCCCCAAGCTATCCTTAGAAGCCAGGCCACAGATGTGTGTATGTAACACACCTGCATGCTCATATGGTGCATCTGCAGCCAGCTGACATCTTATGATCTATAATGTATATCCTCTTCAGGATGCTAAAACCTAGAAGCGAGACCACCAATTTTGACCACTACGCTCTCAGTCCCCCACCCTGACCTGAAACCCACATTCTGTAAAGCTGTCATTATCGAGCCCCCCCACCCAATCACTCCCCCACCCTGACCCAAAACCCATATTCTGCAAAGCTGTCATTATTGAGCCGCGCCCCCCCTCCCCCAATCACTCCCACCCTCCCAAAAGGCAGAGTGCATTTCGGAATCAATCGATGTCTCATGAACAATAGTTTTTACTGCTGTGCTGCACACCATTGAAAACACATGATATACAACCATAGATGTTTCCAAAGATCTAAAATAAAAAACAGGCAAATTAACAGTCAACCTGGCAGCTGTGGTTTGTGTTGCCAACTCCCAAATCCTCTTTTGTAAACTGCTGCAGGGCAATGTATCTCACCTGCTTCTGAGAGAGATGTATGGTTTAGATATCACCAAGGGTACACAATGACAAAGAGCTGCCACTGGCTGGTTGGATTCACTGCACTTTCAACAACTGTTTCATTGTCTTGCTAGAATGATGTGCTTAAACATGTGTTCAACACTGTCTTTGTGCCAAGTATCCAAGACAGTTGGGTCATGGTGCTCTCCCTAACTGTTTCACATGTAACCCCGCCTGGATTTTACCTCTGCTGTATGTGATGACTTCATATAAATGCGGGAAATCCCAATACTTATTTGAACAATATTGATACAAATAATAATACAGATACAAATAATTTATTTTTGAGTTTGTAGCTTTGGAAAGGCACTACAACAGTTATACTATATAGTAACACTGCATTAAGTGCACCTTCATAACACATTAAGTGCACCCTCTTAATGCATTCCTAAAGTTTCGAAAATCAGCATGTAAGTATACCTTAACACCCTAACATACCTTAATGCTGTTATTAATGCATATTGAAACCGTAAGGTATACTTACAAGCTGCTATGTAATGTTCTATGAATGCAGGTACTCTGAATGTTCTATGAATGCACTATAAAGGTATTATGAAGGTGCAATTAATGCAAATTGTTTTCTGATATACCAAGGGCTTCTTTAGTGCTCTTAATATTTAGTGACACTGGATTAATCATAAAGCAAAACACTTCAAATCCAGAGGGCAGTAAGTCTACCTCTATTTTTGCAAGAGATTTCAATGAGCCGTTCAGGCCAAACGATCAATAAGCAGTGCGACAAAGCCTGGAGAATAAAGTGACTAATATAGACTAATAAACTGCTAGGCTAACAGAAGACGCATCATTTTCTACACTATGGCTTTAACCATGAACATTCCTGGCACTTCAGATTATCATTTCAGAGATAACATAACATTTTATAAATGCTGTGAGCACCCCCTCCACCCCACCCAGAGAAACTGTATATTAAAATGCATGTTTCATGCAGTGTTTCTAGATTGCTCCACCACAGTTTAGTAATATTGTTTTAGGTGAAAACAATTATGGAGCTAGAACAAAACCAGACAGACTACTTAGACCTGTAACACGCATAGCCTATGCAAGGGGTGACCTTGGTCAGCCATATGAAAGGTTCCTGAAATGCCCAGAAATCTGGATGAATACATGACAGAAAAACATAAACTGTAAGTTTTAAGGAATCTCTCATTACAAGAGCTTTGCCACTCACATCCTCTGAGTATAAGATGACGGAGAATGTGACAGTCAATAATGCTTATTAATGAAATGGTTACTGAAAAACTACACTAATCTATACCACGAGATGTATCACAAGAATCCTTACTGATACTCATCCAATAGCAGAGAAACACTGAGATACTGGGTGTGTTATGCCGATAGAATACATTTAAAGAAAATACCACAGGTATGAACTAGGGAATTTTGAACGTACTGCTTATTATTGCTATTGAAACTTTAACTGAATGACATTTACATTAGACCAACAAAGGCAACAAATTCTCATATTAACACAAAGGCTGATTCATATTCCCCCTGGCATGGTATATCCCATTGTGCAACACGCCTACAATTCTTTAACTACGCCCCGTTGTGGTACAGAAAATAACGTTCACCAACGTTTCCTATCATGCGGTTTACAAGTAATAACTGAAAATGCACAGAGCACAAACTACTCCAACAAACTTAACAAAACACAACTGTGACCAGTCAAGAAACCACATTGAAAATGGTACTGCGATCTATTAAGCAGCACCGGACACATCGGGATCACTGACAACACAATCCAGTCAATAAGTATGCAGATCCGTTTTTGGTTTGTTATTGTAGGAACTGCAATAAAATACAGCTTTTAAAATAAACTCGGAATCATCTATGGGACGCCTTCTTATCAAACACCACGAAAAGACAATGGCCAATATATAACAAAGTATACGTTACATAAAACAGCTTAAAATTACCTTACAATTCTTTAGATGAAACAACAAAAAATGTATCGGATTTATAAATTACTACATGAACTATATACATTCTAACACTGCAAGCTCAGTCCGATCTATCACGCCTTGATCAAACGGCTGCCCCTTTGCTTAACTTTTTCCCGTTTCGCTGTTATGTTCTGATTTTACCTGGCTTCGCTCGAAGTTCTCTTTTTCTATTTCCAGACTGTTGGCACCGGTTCGACGAATGAGCCCTTTTGGGATGGGGTTAGGGACTTGCTGTATGGAACTCTTCATTCGATCCATTGCGAGTACAGCAAGCTACCAGGGGGAAAAACAGCAGCGCGATCATGAAATTGCAAAAGGGGAAAAAGTCCAGCCCTCGCTTCAGTTAGAACAGGTTTCCTTTTCTAAGTGATTAGGAGAGCTTGGATGAATGCTGTTCGTTTCTGCCTGTTTATATTATTGTTGTTGTTGTTATTGTTGTGTGTTTCTTTTTTTTTTGGTCCACCGCCCTAGAACTACGAACCCACCATCCCAATATAGCGCAGATGAAATTCTGCCACAAACTCCTCCTACACTCGCTGTTTACGACTGGCTAACTTTAGAAATACCCGCCCATCGGTGTTTTGTCCTGGCCTTTGTTTGGCTACTCTGAAATCAATATAATTTAGCCCAGCCTTTCAGTAATATTTTACTAGCTGGACCAAGTACACCAATCCGAGATTGCATACTCAAACTCTACAACAATCACCAACTCCTGAACTTATTGAACATATTTTCTTTAACAAATAATTTTTAAAAAAATCTGATAGACTTATTTGAGCATGTGGCATTAAACATCGAAAGTCAATCTCAATCCCATGAAAGCCAATAAGCTTCACTGGTTTGTGCATTTTGTTTTACATGACTCACTGAATAAAGCACTTGAGCAATTCAAGGTTATTTAGCTAACCATTAATAGTGTTCAATGAGTCCAGGATTTATGAAAAAGAAATCAGGACACGATTTGCCTTTCATATCAACAAATGTATATCTTAAGGTTTTTTATATATAAATTTGCTTAAAGATTTATAGAAAATGTATAATGTATGTAATTTCGCAACTTTGCAACATTTCCCATAACCTCTTAACCTATATGGGTGTATCCAGATCAGATAAATGACAAAGACTATAGGAACATAAAACTATTCGTTTAACACTCAAAGGAACAGCCAAAGTAAACTTTTTGCTTGCTGAATAAACATTTAAACAAAAAATATTTGAAAGAAACCGGTAAATGTAAATTTAAAGGAAACCTTTTTCATCTGGTATATTTTTAATATTTAGCAAACACAACAAAGGTACCGGGATATTAATAAAACCTATATTTATTGTACATTCACCACTAAATGTAGTATCGAAAAATTGTTACTGCGTTTGCAGCAGTCTTTAAGGTTCTGTCAGGCTCGTGTCCCATCTAGACCACTCAGACCAAAGGAGTCGCATTTCATTTTAATTGCGCGTTTTCATGAAACAACACGGTAGATTGAAGTAATGGTAAAACTAAACACATCGAGAGTAAACAAGACATATTATATTCTAGGCAACAGGCGTCCTGTTTTTCAAAACATCCTGTATTGCTGGAACATTACTTATAAATGAATCATTGCTCTATTATATAATAGAAAACCGAAATAAATGTTTATACATAAACTGAGAAACTATTTATAGTCTGAAGTTTTGATGTAGTTGTTTCCGATTTAAAGCCAGTAGAACTATCCGGTTGAAGTATATGCCCCATACCACGATTTCCGATATATTACTGTTGGAAAAAAAAACTGTAGTCTACTGACAAGTTATTGAGCTTTCCCTTGTACTGCGTAAACAGACCGTTTAACAATCTGATTCACTCAGCACTGCAATATCTCGTTTTGTGGTGTAGTTTGTCAGGATTACAGAAGCACTTATTTAACCGTAAGTGTGTACACGAATAATGGGATAATGTTTAGGGTGAAAGAATAAGATCTTACATGTGTTAATTCGGGTATTCCAGCTTTTGTTGGAAGTAAAGTCTATCATATGGCCGCACGGAAAGACGCAACTAGGAACGAGAGTCCGCTACGTTTCCTTATGAGTAGCGGCTGGCGGAGGTTCACTTGGCTCAGCTGCGCTGTTGCCGCGCAATTCTGGTGTCTCGCGCATTCTATTTCGTGCGTAACCAAACAGAATTATGGGATATTAAAGTCCTCCGGCGGCGCGGTGCCGCCATGTCTCCCAGGGAGAAGTGGTGGATCGTGTTTACCTCTCTGGTGGTCTTTTCTTTCGCAATCCTTTATTTAACACTTTATTTTATCCCGTACATTTTTTACATTGTGTTTATTTTCGGTGGAATTTGTGTCGCCTGTTTTCATTACACCGGCGACTCGCCGTTTCATGCCAGGTTAGGCCCTCATCCTCGGACAAGCCTGGTAATCCCACCGGTATTCCGACGCTGGTTACCGCGGGCGACTGCCAACGGAGTACCGACACCCGGACGAGTACACCGGGATCGTTTCAACAAAACCACTCAAAGGGATTCATTTTTGTCAGGTGGCGAGGGACGCTTGCGGAACCCTGGCGATTTTTACAGAGACGCAGACACATTTAGTGACTCGGTGGTGTTCAGTCCCCGAGACATATTCATGGGGAGTTACATTGGAAAGCAGGATAGTCCTTTACCCGCCGCGAGAGCCTGTGGTGGTGGTTCCAGAGAGCTCCGTGAAAGGCTGTCTCGACCCAACCATGCAGTGCCCACCCCGAGCAGAAGACTGTCATTCAGGTAAATAAAAACCAGCCGACTTGGTAAGCCAGTACCCCGTTGGTGCTAGCTAGCCGCATCGGTAGCCATGCCTGACTAGCTACCAGACTGAGTTTAATTCCAACTAGTCGGGGGGCGAATACTCATTTACAGGCTCTGTTAATAACTTCCCACTGTCTGGAATAGCTTCTGTTTTGGTGACAAATGTGTTGCGTAAAGAATGCTGCCTCCAGAAAACATTTTGTCTGTTAACCAGCGGGCTAAACTAGTTCAGCGCGGAGTTGAAGTATTCCCTCCAATATTTGAAAATGTGGGAGTTACTGTGGGCGCTGTGCAGTCTGCTCCTTCCCCCCTCCGGTTGTTCATCTGCTTTAAATCGCAGTGGTCGAGGATAAACTGATTCCTTTTGTATTTCCTTGAAGCTGAATCGGATTATTTGCAACCCGTTATTTTCATTTATATTTAAACGTCTTAGTTGTGCATTGGTGATTGACTGTTGTATTCGCTGCTGCCTTAACTACTTGGCTATTAGACCCTGAAATATGAAGCTGCCCCCAATCTAACTACATTTAAACTCTCAACTTAATAAAGTGTGTTAATTCAGTTTAAATGACGCTATCTGTGCCCATTTTATGTTGTTTTTATGTTGCGAGTTTACTGTTATAATAAAGTACATTTTGATCTTATGTGAATATCTTGAAGCCAATGGAGATGTATTGTTTATGAAAGCCATACAATAGTCTGTGATTCAGGTTTACAGTGTCCAAAACGTCTCAGTTACGGCGTCCAGATTTAAGATTAACGTTGAGCCGGCGAATGCATCATGTGCAACGTTTTTGAAATCACCTATGCCGTTAGCAGGGAGCCCATCGCCACGACGGGCAGATTCACCATCACCCCTCAACGACACTACCCCCTCCAGCAAGTAGGCTCCCCGTTGCTGGGTGTGCTGCCCCCGACTCGGTGGGATGGCTACAGAAAGAAGGCCGTCCTGACGCCGCGAAACTCGCCGGCAGCCCACAGCCCCGTTACCGTGAAGATCGCACGCCCGGACCGCGCCCGGTCCCCCCTGTGAGTTGGAGCGGAAACTCAGTGGTTATCATGCTGGCATCTGTTTTGCACTAATTAAAAAATTTCTTTGGTTTACTGCACTGTATGTACACTACATTTTCACTTATATTTCTTGTGCAATACCTGTGGGCATGTATACATCTACATTGAGTGTGTGCTTTTGTGTATCTGTGTACTATTGGCAGTTTTGCATATGTTCCTACTTGACTGGACTACTGTTGAATTAATTTCTGCAGCTCTATGAGCAGTGACAAAATTCCTGTTCTATCCTCAGTGGTCATGTTAAGTTGCAAAATGCTTGTTTCCCCTGTTTTGTAATTTTCCTTGAGTTTCCCCCTTTAAAGCAGCGATATCAAAATTTTAAAGGAATCCTATGTTTCTTAAACTGCTTATGCAGGGGTATAACACTGCAAACTCTGTTCTGCAATGTGGATTGTGGTTTATTAATCCTGCTGCCCTCTCTGCAGTTATGACCCATTAAATTTGCCGATGTCTCATCCTTTGGGGTTGAGCGCGGCTGCTGACCCCTGTGCCCGAGAGACTGTCCTCAATATTTTGAAGGAAAGCCGCAAAAGAGGGGTAGAAGAAGATGAGCGAGCCTGTCCTCCTGAGCAGAAAAACAAGAGGAGGTAAGCAAACCCAAAACAAGAAAACCCACAGAAATAGAAGGGTGGGACTAAGAAGAGACCAGATGTACAGCAGTGTGTTGTACTTTTGATGTGACAGAACTGTGTTTGCTTCTTCAGACTGTTTCATTTTTAGTTGTGGGTTTTTAAGATGTTTATTTAGCTGTCATTAAGGCTACTTCTGTTTCTAATAAAGTTAGTCATGTGTCCAGCTGCACGCTGTAATTCTGTTTCTGATCTGCTTTGACGACACCATGACACATTTCCTTTATTCTTAGGCTGTCAGAAATGGATTGCAAATTGTAAAAATTGCCCGCTGCTTCTTTTACTTGTGTTGATAGGAACATATGTTTGATCTGGGGTTAGGGTGGAAAAGTGTTGTTCATCACGTTTAACCTTGTTGAAATCGCATTTTATTGCTTTTTGGTTGTAACATACCAGTTTTTTTTCCTTCAAAGTATTAAGCGCCTAAATTGTGTTTCAGTGTCTGGTCTTAAAAGCTTGTATACTGTATTGTTTTTATTTCTTCGGGGTGGGGGGGGGTGGCCATTCCTGACATGCTGTGACTTTTAAGGTGCATAACGATGTGTCCAGTGAGCTGTTTGTAACCCGTGCTGGTCACTAATTGTGCTTTGTGTGTCCCCTGCCCTCCCAGACGCAGTGACAGCGGCGGTAGCAGTCATTCTGCCTTTGAGCCTCTCCTTGCCAATGGAGCCCCCTCCCAGCTGGTGCCCAAGTGAGTGACTGCAGTGCTGTGCGGTGCCAGGCACTGCTGTACCATTCAGATGTGCCTTCAGCTACTTGCCCCACCCATGCTTTGTTGGTGTGTGTGTGTGTGCGTGTCTGTGTGTGCGTGTGTGTGTATGTGCGTGTGCGCGTGCGTGCATGCTTGAAACGTGTTGAAATTTACTGCAGATCTAGCCTTGGGTGGTTTTTATTATTATTAAGGTGGGTGGAATGAGTGCCTGTTGGGCAGCACTGTCACTTCTGCCCGTTAGGGGGGTGCGTTTGTGTGCATTTGTTGTCTGTGCCTGGATATTGCTCAGGGTTTGTCCCCCAGTTGTTTTCTTATTGTGGTAGATTCTCTCCCCACAACCCGAAAGCCCCTTCTCTGTGCTTGCATGCGCACATGCCTTGCAATGGCCTGCTAACCATATATAGCAGCATGCATCATAAGACGATCGGTTATTCCGGTCTAACAGGTGCTTGCATAGCTTGGTTAGATACGAGTCTAAGCTCAGCACCGGATAGAATTTTTGAGTAGTTCGTTCGTGTTTTGATTTTCATTCCCTATTAAAAAAGAATGATCAGCGTTTTTTGAAGAAATGCAGCTGGCCTGATCTGCTGGTATCCTTACTCCTGTTTTCCTTGCCTCCCATCGAGGCCTGGGAGCTTGAAGCGGGGTTTGAACGCATCCGTGATGGAGGAGTCCCTCATAAAGCGCAACCGCACCTCCTCCATGAGCTCCCAGACTAGCAGTTTGGACCCTTGCGGAGTCCTCGGTTCAGCCCGAAACCCCATCCGCAGCTCCTACAGCTCCTCACAGGGATATCCTCAGGTACAGTACCCCTCCAGCGCCACTCCCCCAGACTCACCTGACCTCTCCTCTTTGAAACTTTAAGATGTGCTCGATTTTGAAGGATGAACCATTTCTGATTATATTCCAAACTTATCATCATATCCTCAGGAATTTATTAGAAAGTCCTAAACAACCCACATGCTTTATTATCGATTTATATGAATGTTGAAATATAGTAATTCAGTCTAAATATGACCATATTCAATTGGCCATTCATTATTTCATGGATTCTGGTGGGCTCAGCTGAGCTTTCTTGGCACCATTGTAACCGTTTCCCTCTTGCACCATTTCTTCGCAGCGTAAGGCAGCCTCCAGCCTCAACTTCTCCCCCCTTTCCAGCCCCGGGTCGTCGCGCTCGCAGACCCCGGAGCGGGTCTTCAAAAAGCCACGGTATGTCCTTCTGTGTGGTTGTATCCCCCCCAGCTGGCTTGGTCACTCTGTTCATGTTTCTAAACCGCTGCCAAAGGTGAGAGATCACCGCAGCTCTCATGAACGCTCCATGTTAATTTGGCTGAACTGACGCACTGCTAACAACTGAGCTTTATTCATGGGTTTGTTAATTGCAGCTCATTTTTTGCTCTCTTGCTCACTTTACTGCCTGAATTATATCTTTATAGAGAAGCTGCGTGGTTCCCTTAATGCTTTGAAGAGAAGCTAAATAAGCATTTGCTGAATATTTATCAAATAAATTGCATACTTTAATGTTGGATGGCCGCCACACCTCAAAATATGGATTAAAAGTTTAATTTGTGCTGCACTTCTGCCAGACAGGTAGAGCCTGACACGGGCTCCTCTTCCCTCATAATGCAGGGAGTTTAAGGGCTGAAAAACAATTCCCAGGTCCCCTAGAAAGGCAGCGGAGACAGCGGGTCGGGGACCCTGGCTGCCCCTAATGTTTGTAATGGTGTGTTTCAGTGCTGACTGGCTAAGAAAAGCATTTTAGGAGGAAGCCCATCTGGTGTTGAAACAAAGCACCAGCTGAAGGTCGCTGTGTAGCCGTTACATTTGTCTTCTGTAGAGCACCTCCATTTGAAAGGTTTTTAGTCATGTGCTGTTATGACCATAAGGCCTGTAAAACATCTGAAACCAGGGCTTACTCTGTAACCCCAAAGTGCCTCTGTGTGTGTGCGTCTGCCTCTGTGTGTGTGTGTGCGTCTGCCTCTGTGTGTGTGTGTGCGTCTGCCTCTGT